GCCCACCGGCTCCCTGCCTGCGCCGCGAAACGTGCCTTCAATTAAAGTCGCGTTAAAAACCCGCCTAGCCCCAGGGGTTTGCACGCTCCTCCGCCCCGGGAGCGCTCGGCTCCCGCCAGGGCTCGGGCAACCCCTTCCCCGCGGGGAGGAACAAACATCCCAGTATCTCGCTGCGTACTCTCATCCTGAGCAGGCTGTTGACTCCAACCTTCAATCTACCAAAGGATGCTGTGAAACTTGCTCATTTGGATGAGAAACCAAGAAAGCCAGAACCCAGTGATCTGTAGCAGCAGAACAACCAGGAGGCAGATGCAGAAGGATGCCGGAGCCCTGCAGCACGGGTGGCGTGCTGTTAGAGAGATTGCATGTTTCTAACAAGGCCCTGAGGTTTTATGGTCTACAACAGCCGCGCAGAAACATGCGGAGAAGTCATGTTTTTATAGCCCTATCAATTTTGCCTGACTTCCCTGTTGGATGTTTTTTAGAACACTGATTAAAAAGCAATCCTGATTTCACATGAAGAAGAAAGGAGAAGTAGCAGCGCCTGCCTGATCCCATCCACGCTTCAGACTGTGCAGGGCAGGCTTTTAAGGTGCCCATACAGACAGGTGTTCCTATTTTAAACAAGCCGTGAATTTTGCCCCAGAATTCACTTCCTAGCTCCAGATTTGGCCAGAATAAGAAGGGCACACACCTCTCCAGAACCTACAGCCAGCCTTGGTGGCCCTGTATCACTTGAGGTCTTTCAAACAGTGGGACAAAAAGATGCCTGCTAACAGATATGCTCTGGGAGCTCCTTCCAAGGGAGACGAGCCTTTTAGATTCCCTCTCACTTGGTTCTGCATCACTCTCCTCTCCCCTGCGTGGCAGCTGCCAAATATAAAGGTGCCACAGAAACAAGTGACAAGGAGCATCCCCAGGGACCTGAAGACAAGGCAAAAGACTGATTGCTCCCTTCAGTCAATGGTTCAAGAGGACCAGGGTTGGGAAGCCAACTCTCCCATTGCCAAAGGGGAAAAAAAACCCCATGCCTATGCAAAGGTATCCCAAACAGTGTTCAGCTCTATCAAAGGGCCAAAACTCCACTCCTGAGCAGGTTTTTCATTCTGCTTTCTAGTGCTGGGATCCCTTCCCCCCCTCCCTCCTCAAGAGAAGTAATACTTAGACAAAGGGCACGCAGTAAACAGAAAACTAAGAAAAGATTTGGCCTACAGCAGAAAGTTACCTTAGCACAGGCATCTGCAAAAGGAAAAAGTGGGAAAAAGGTTTTGGCACATTGTTATCAAGGCCCTGAGATTGCGCTTTAAAAGGAAATTCCTTATTTCGCACTTCCTTTATGTTTCCCTAAAGATGGGTGGTGAAACCCTGGCAGAGGTTGCCCCGAGACGGGGTGGAGGCCCCATCCCTGAGAACATTCCAGGCCAGGTTGGAGGGGGCTGTGAGCAACCTGATGTGGTTCAAGGTGTCCCTGCTCCTGCAGGGGGGTTGGGCTGGGTGACCTCTAGGGGTCCCTTCCAACCCAAAACATTCTGTGATTCTATGAGGGAATCCACCGTGCCCTGGCTCTCCCTCAACCCTGCCAGGGAGAACAACGGTGCGGAGCCGCGGTCACCCGCCGTGACATCACGGCGGTCAAACGCTCCCGCGGGCTTGCGCGTTCCAAGTTTGGATTTGTCAGTCGCGTGCCTTCCGCGGAGCGAAACGCCCGTTACAGTCAGAGATTCTTAATATTCAACTACTTATTTAATAATTACCATAAA